TCCTGTATGCATGACAATATAAAGATGTATTACTCACTGATGTCGAAGCACTTCCAGGTCATCAGAGATGTAGACAGGACAGAATGTGTGCTATCAAATGAGCTCTTGTGCAGCCTTTGTTGGACATCCAGGTAGTATGTTCACCCACACTGTAAGAAACAAAAACAGAAACAATTTATTAAAATGTGAGGGATGGTAAACATGTTTGGTCTACAGAGAGAAGAAAATGTTTACTTTAAGCATTGATTCTAATGAATCTATTTCTGAACTACATCTAACCTTATCACGGAAACAGCATTTTTGAGCTTTTAGACCAGGGGTGCTCAACCTTGTTTGCTTTAAATTAGAATTAAAACAATAAATCTCTATGTCAAATAAAATACTTCAGATCTAAATAAAGCAGGTGTTTTTACCTAAAGGTTCCTTCCTTCCAGTTAGTTTGGCTGCAAATCCCTCCACATCTGTGCTTTATTCGGTTCTTGTCTGGTGTCGCATTCCAGGTCCATCACAATCTGGGCTAGAAGGACAATATGACAAAAGACAAGACACATATAAATAAAAGTCTCAGAATAAAATATTTAAAGGAATAGTTTACTATTTTGCCACTATTTACTCCACGTGTTTTAAACTAGTTTGAATTTCTGTTAAACACTGAAGCAGATATTTTGAAGAATGTTAGTAACCAGTAACTATTGACATCCATATTTAAACCAAATTTCTTTAAAAAATATGAGTTTGTGTTCAACGGAACAAAATAAATATATAACTATTTTGAAACAAGTGGAGGATGCCAAAGATGCTATTATTTTCATTTTTGGGTGAACTGTCCCTTCAATTCAAGTGTCAAGCAATAGTCATAAAAACTGATGTGTCGCTTGAGGAAAACTAAATCAAGTACCTTCTTTGAACAAGCAGAATCATTATGCCATTGTATTCAGTGATTCTCTTTTACATTTTCCCACTATGAAACGATAGCTTCAACATGCAATCCATGTTAAGACAAAAATGAATAGCATAAAATAACATATTGAACTAAACTTACAATTTCCAGGCTGTTTGAAAAAAAACAAACAAACACATATGCCCAGTAAAATTGCTAATAAACACAAAGACAACAGTTATAGAAAAAAATGTTTGTCTAATATTTACTCAGCACTTGGTAGGCAAATAGCCTAGCCGTGGATGTTTTAACACCAGATTTTTTTATCTTAGGAACTGCTGGAAGAAGAAAAAGAGGTTGTACATGAAACTCCTCACAACAAATCTGTGAACAACTTGACATTTAAAAATCTAATCAAAATGAGGAAGACATCAACATTACCTTGAATAATCAAGTGAGGAGTGATTGGTAGCATCAGTTTTTTAACATCAATTACTGTAGCTGAAAAACAGATAAATATAATAAGAGTAAAATAAGATTTAACATTAATTAATCTAAATCTATGGTACAACCATACCAATCTGTATGAGGTTAAAATACATTTGTACACAAATCATTCCCTGACCCCATCAATTTCTCTTAGAATAGGATATATATATATATATATATATATATATATATATATATATATATATATATATATATATATATATATATATATATATATATAGTGATAATGACTTTGGGTTATATCTGTGTACTCAGAACGTACACTCACCTCAGGTACACCTGAACACCAAAAATTAAATGTACAATTAATGACACACTATACATCAAGCTCATTAACATTATTGAGAAATAGACAATTAATATGTATTTTGTTAATATTAACTTTAGCTTAAAATAATTCAACTGCATTTAATTTTCAGCTCCATTTAATAAAACAGTTAAGACTCATTTCATTATGAGTTTAGTTTAAATAACTAACTTACAGTTGAAAAATTTTACCATAATGATAGCTTAGTCATAATGACTATGTGAAGACCAGAGCTTACCTTAACGGTAAACGTTTAACTTTTCATGGTGACTTCGCCTTCATCTCAGTGTTGTGCTGAAATAGAGAATGCATTAATGCAGTTACAATAAGTTAAAGTTATGTTTTTTCAGGTAACTTAGCGTATGGTCAAAAACTCACTAACGATAAACTCACTGTATCTATACCTCGCAAACACTACAATGACCGCCTGGCGTCTGTTATTTCTTGTTTAAAATACCATTCGTTAACGGACAGTGTGACATAACATAAGAACCTAACGTAACGTTACAACTATGTCACTTGGTTAATTCTTTTAAATTACACACTCAATACACAGAAATATATACAAAACAATCCTTCAACGGACAGAATTTGACTTTAAAACACTTACCGAGGATGAATTCGCTGGATGAAAGACGACAGGTGAATTTCAAATTAGGAGAGCCGTTGCCTGCAGGTCGAGTCGTGTCCGTTCGGTTCTATGAATCGGCTCCTTAGTGAACAGTAAAGATTTGAATCCGCCTAAAACCGATTCCTTTTTGTATATGATTCATTACTATTTCGTAATACTGCTTTGCCACACGCATTAATTATACACTAATTGCATATTGCTGAATGTGCTTGTGAACACGTGATCAAATAATTCCCGAGCAAACGGTTCAATACGATTCAGAGTCGCTCGAGAGCTGAACCGAATCAGTGCAAACGTGATATTGATTACAATATAGTAACATTATTTTTTATTCACTTTACCAGCGAATTTATTGCATATATCTGACGTTGACAATAAGAATAAAATTCTTTGAAGTGTTTTGAGAATTAATATTTTTTTTCTCCCAGAATTCATTTCACATCAACAAGCAAATGGTAATGGCGGATGAGAAAGCCCAGCTAATATTATAAATATTGCGTTTAATATGTCACGAAATGAAATTTTAACAGTGTTTCATGCGAGAATGTAGTTCTTACAAACTCAAATCTGTGGTTTATTTATAGATATCATGTGTAAATTTTAAGCGTGCTTTGCCGATAGCGGAGATTCCTCCAGGGTGTCCATCATCACTCATGTATCCGGCGAAACGAGGTTATAATCGGCTAGACATGTAAGACTTGCCCCGGTCTTAGATGGCTCTATAATAAATGTGTTATGAAATTTAGTTTTAACCGTTTTTCATGCGGGAATGTAGTTGTTTTAAACTCGAGTCTGTGGTTTATTTATAGAGATGGTGCGTATTTTAAAATATTGTTTTGAAAATGCGGAGATGTGACCTCCATGGTGACGGGTGCCCAATCCTCATGAATCCGTCTAAAGCAGGCTGGTCATTCTGACATTTAAGCTGACTTTGGTTTCATGAATCAATTACTTTTGTTCCAGTTTACGTTTTGATTAAGCACAAAGTTATGATGATTAAAAATTATTTAATATTTTCATGTTAACCTTATAAAATTAAGTTGCAGTACACCCAAAAATGGAAAACCAGGGGACAGTTTTATGCACTGAACAGTCTGAAGAAACTGGTTAGTTTATTTTTCTTCACAAAATACTTTGTCAAAAAATAAAATAAACATAATAGTAATAATATAAAGTGTGTGTAGAGTTTTTCATGGTCATTTGCAGTACTGTATTTAGATGCACAGTAACTGATTTTTTCCCCAAATTCATTGTAAAATCTGCAGTAGCATACTGTTAATCATGTTCACAGTATGGAAATGTTGAGAATACATTATCATGCTGTGAAAACAGCAATATATACAGTAACACACTGTGCACAGCTTATACAGTAAACAACTGTTAAGAAATGCAGTATAATACCGTGAAAACAACAGAAATCGTTTACAGTGTAGATAGATAGATAGATAGATAGATAGATAGATAGATAGATAGATAGATAGATAGATAGATAGATAGATAGATAGATAGATAGACAATTTTTAAGCGTTGTAATCACAGAAAATAGTAGAAGTAGTGGTCAAATAAATAAATAATAATAATTAAAATAATAAATCAGATCAAGCGATACATTTAATAACCAACATTTAATAACCAACATTTATGGATAAAACAGTAATAATAAATAATAATAATCAGTATATTTACAATGGTTCATTTATAATAATCTAGATGTGTGTTTGTCTCTCTCTCTCTCTCTCTCTCTCTCTCTCTCTCTCTCTCTCTCTCTCATTAAAATTTCACAGGAGGGCTAATAATTTTGTCTTGCCCTCCTGTGAAAGTTTAATTCTTAACTAGTTTAATTTTGATTAAAACTTTTAGAACATAAATTAACGTTAAACATTTACATATCGCAACTAAATGAAGACGCTAAACTTGAGTTTTAAATGGATGGTTCACCATCATGAACTCACCCTTTAGTTGTTTCAAACAATTATGTGTTTCTTTTTTCTGTCGAACACAAAATAAGATATTTTGAAAAATGTTATAAGACCGTTAACTTCCATAATATTTTTTTTTCCTGTGTGTAAAATCAATATAAATTGAATTGAATCATATATAAATATTGAATTAAATGTTGGGGTTTACTATCCCTTTAAGGATGCTAAACGGGGTGTACGATTCTCCAATATTCTTGCACATATCAATTTATTATCATTTTATTTATTAAATGCAATGTGTTTTCTTCATAAATGCATGTCACTTATTGACAGCGTTGAGTTTAAAAAGTACTCCATTACAACAATGTAAAAAATGCTGGGTTCCACACAATTCCTTCATGTTGTCCCAACACAAATCGATTAAGTTAACCAAATAGTTTTACAATTTAAAGTGGATTGAACATAAAACTATTATGTTGCTTCAGCTCATTTTAAATAGGTAGATTGAACAAGCAGCAAAAAATATTTTTTGAGTGAATGTTAAGCCTATCTGTCAATTTAAAAATCGCCACATTTTTGTTAATTAAATTAAATTAAACGAATAATTAAAAGTACAACATTTATTTATTTTTATAAGTGACTTTAAAAATGTCAAAAGGTTATAATATATTACTTTAATCCCCTAATACTGTTTATTGATGTTGTTAGTCGTCATAAACATATTGTTTTTCATTACCCAGGATTCACCCGGCAGGATGTTTGTATACTCGGAGGGTCTCCGGGAGCAGTTTTGTCAGCGGGAGGCGGCGCATGCGTGACATTGAACCGGTGCTCAGACTGAAAACATGAAGATCACCGGACAGAGAGTTCAGCAGCTCCACCGGTGATGTTTAACGGAGATTCCCGGTTTTACGGAGCGCGACAGAACCATGAGTGTCGCGCTGAAGAGCTGGAGTGCAAATGAAGGACTCAAACACTTTATGATGGTAAGAGACGACCGTTTATTTAACTGTTACTCTGTTTGCTGTTGTCAGGAACATCTGTGCGCGTGCACTGTTTTTGAGGTAACGTTAAAGTTGGTTTTATATTCACACATTTAGACATTATCTTAATAATATAATTTCATAACAGTGTTGTTTGCCAATTCTAAATAGGGAAATCATATTATTACCCAATTACTATCAACGTACATTGTTTACAGTCAATTAAAATAGTGCTAAAGTTGATTTGAAGTCATACTTCACTTACATGCGAGTTCATACTGACTAATCAAAGTAACGTTAGCGGTAAACAATATAGAAACGGTGTCAGAAGTTGACACCGAACAAATGTCCGTGTATAAAGCAACTTTACCTCAATCACTCTGTTAGGGCTGCGTAATATTGGAAAAAACAGACATTTTTGCAAACTTTAGCGATAACTTATATTGCGATATGACAACAATTTCTCAAGATAACTTTGGAAAGAATCAGTCATTTTAGATTGATTGGGATTGTTTTGTAAAGGGGAGTTCATCTGCATAAAATATACTTAAATCAATTGCAAGCATAGATGTAATACACCAACAGCAGTGTTTGTTTAATTTATGCTTCCTGTGGACTTTTAAAAATTATGTGGTAGAGAAATTTAACAACCAAACGTAAAATAGCACTGTATAGTCTTTATTTTATAAATAATTTAGCATAATTAAATTCAATCCGTGTTAAAGGGGACCTATTATGCCCCTTTTTACTAGATGTAAAATAAGTCTCAGATGTCCCTAGAGTGTGTATGTGAAGTTTTAGCTCAAAGTACCACAAAAATAACTAGATAGTAAAGTTTGAGGACAAACTTTATGGTGGCTTGAAAAGCCGAATCTGAAAGTTTGAAGTGGTTTTAAAGTGTAAATAGCATGTTAGTATGATTTTAGCTTGAGGTAACATATTACTAGCATGAATTAGCATGTTAGTAGCATGATTCTTACATGAATTAGCATGTTGTTAGCATGATTCTAGCATGAATTAGCAAGTTACTAGCATGTTTCTAACATGAATTAGCATGTTGTTAGCGTGATTCTAGCATGAACTAGCATGTTACTAGCATGATTCTAGCATGAATTAGCATGCTACTTGGATAATTCTAGCATGAATTAGCAAGTTAGTAGCATGATTCTTACATGAATTAGCATGTTAGCATGATTCTAGCATGAATTAGCATGTTACTAGCATGATTCTAGCATGAATTAGCATGTTGTTAGCATAAATCTAGCATAAATTAGCATGTTACTAGTATGATTCTAGCATGAATTAGCATGTTGTTAGCATGATTCTAGCATGAATTAGCATTTTACTAGGCGGTTGCTAGGGTGTTTTAAGTGGTTGCTAAGGTGGTGCCAGGCAGTTGCTAAGGTGGTCTGACTAGTTGCTAGGTGGTTGCTAAGGTGTTGCTAGACGGTTGCTAGGGTGTTTTGAGTGGTTGCTAGGTGGTTGCTAAGGTGGTGCTAGGCAGTTGCTAAGGTGTTCTGACTAGTTGCTTAGTGGTTACTAAGGTGTTGCTAGGTGGTCGCTAGGGTATTCTGAGTGGTTGCTAGGTTGTTGCTAAGGTGTTGCTAGACGGTTGCTAGGGTGTTCTGAGTGGTTGCTAAGGTGTTGCTAGGTGGTTGCTAAGGTATCCTAAGTGGTTGCTAGGTGGTTGCTAAGGTGTTGCTAGGTGGTTGCTAAGGTGTTGCTAGGCGGTTGCTAGGGTGTCCTAAGTGGTTGCTAAGGTGTTGCTACGGTGTTCTGAGTGGTTGCTAGGTGGTTGCTAAGGTGTTGCTAGGTGGTTGCTAAGGTGTCCTAAGTGGTTGCTAGGTGGTTGCTAAGGTGTTGCTAGGCGGTTGCTAGGGTGTCCTAGGTGGTTGCTAAGGTGTTGCTAGGCGGTTGCTAGGGTGTCCGAAGTGGTTGCTACGTGGTTGCTAAGGTGTTGCTAGGCGGTTGCTAGGGTATTCTGAGTGGTTGCTAAGGCATTGCTAGGTGGTTGCTAGGGTGTCCTGAGTGGTTGCTAGGTGGTTGCTAAGGTGTTGCTAGGTGGTTGCTAGGGTGTCCTGAGTGGTTGCTAGGTGGTTGCTAAGGCGTTGCTAAGCAGTTGCTAGGGTGTTCTGAGTGGTTGCTAGGTGGTTGCTAAGGTGTTGCTAGGTGGTTGCTAAGGTGTCCTAAGTGGTTGCTAGGTGGTTGCTAAGGTGTTGCTAGGTGGTTGCTAAGGTGTTGCTAGGCGGTTGCTAGGGTGTCCTAAGTGGTTCCTAGGTGGTTGCTAAGGTGTTGCTAGGTGGTTGCTAAGGTGTTGCTAGGTGGTTGCTAAGGTATTCTGAGTGGTTGCTAAGGCGTTGCTAGGCGGTTGCTAGGGTGTCCTTAGTGGTCGCTAGGCCCTTACTAAGGCATTACTAGGCCGTTGCTAGGCGGTTGCTAGGGTAGTTTGGGTGGTTGCTAGGCAGTTGCTAGGGTACCCTGGTTGGTTACTAGGCAAGCCTCACATACATGCTTGATAAAACATTTATACTTAGTAAGCATTTCTAGCAAGTTACAGTACTTGGCTAGTCAATATTAGCATGTAGCTAGTCACTGCTAGCATGTGTAGCATATAGGAAGTTCCGTTTGCTAGCATGAGTCAAACGAGCCAATCTCCAAGTCTCTACGATGTTCTGATGCTGAGATATAGCTGTTGATGAATGGTTGCTAGGGTACTCTGTTTTGTTGCTATGGGCGAGGTTACAGAGTGAACTTGAATGTGGTTGGTTGTCTTAGTCGAATGAACCAACCCCCATGTCTCTATGACACTGCTATGCAAAGATATGCATCTTGGCCTATTTTAATGGAAGTCTATGGAATCAATTTGGGGGCGTGGCTTGTGAGCTTTATTATCATATTGAGATGCTCATTGGTTGTCTGAGTCAGATGAGCCATCCCCCAAGTCAATAGGACACTGCTATGCAAAGATATGCATGTAGGCCAGTTATTAACATGAGTCTAGTATGAATTAGCATGTTACTAGCATGATTCTAGTACAAATTAGCATGTCATTAGCATGTTTCCAGTATGAGTTAGCATGTCATTAGCATGATTAGCATATGAGTAGCATGTTGCTAGCATGATTGGCATGTCATTAGCATGTTAGAATTATAAGCATTTGATAGCACAGCTAATTACATTCTATAGGACAGTTGCTAGGGTGCAGTATGTGGTAGTTAGGGGTGTGGCTAGAAAGTTAAAAGGCCATCAGTGATTGGCTGCTGGCTAGACTCAGTTAAATGAGCTCAGCCATTAGTCTCTATGACAGTCTGATGCAGAGTTATGAGCTCACAAAGTTTGATCCCATGTTAAGTCAATGAGAGTCTTTTGAATGGAAGTCTACGGGACAGTTGCTAGGGTGCCATAAGTGGTTGCTAGGGAGTGGCTAGTAAGTCTAAAGGCCATCAGTGATTGGCTACTGACTAGACTGAGTTGAATGAGGCCTGACTGTAGTCTGTAGGACAGTCTGATGCAGAGTTATGAGCTCATAAAGGTTGACTCAATGTTAAGTCAATGGCAGTCTTTTACAATGGAAGTCTATGGGACAGTTGCTAGGGTGCCAAAAGTGGTTGCTAGGGAGTGGCTAGTAAGTTTAAAGGTCATCAGTTATTGGCTGCTGGCTAGACTGAGTTAAATGAGCCCAGTTAGAAGCCTGTAGGACAATCTGATGCAGAGTTATGAGGTGACAAAGTTTGACCCAATGTTAAGTCAATGGGAATTTTGGGAATTTTCCGGGTCGTTTTTCGGAAAACCGAAAGTCGGATCAGTCGGAAAAGATATAGCAACCCGAGTCAGACCAGTTTGAAGGTTTGACGAAAGTTTGAGGTATGAAGCTTGAAAGGGTTAGGAGGAGATAGACTTTAAAATTAGTCTCAGAAGAAAGAAGAAGAAGAAGCAGAATAATAACTAGATTCTTAAAGTTTGAGAACAAACTTTGAGGCTGGCTTGTGAAAGCCTGACGGTAATAGTTTATTTAAACAGTTTTAAAAAGTATGAAAAGATAGATAGATAGATAGATAGATAGATAGATAGATAGATAGATAGATAGATAGATAGATAGATAGATAGATAGATGTTGTTAGCATGATTCTAGCATGAATTAGCATAATGTTAGCATAATTCTAGCATGAATTAGCATGTTGTTAGCATGATTCTAGCATGAATTAGCATGTTGTTAGCATGATTCTAGCACGAATTAGCATGTTACTAGCATGATTCTAGTATGAATTAGCATGCTACTAGCACGATTTTAGCATGAATTAGCATATTACTAGCATGATTCTAGCATGAATTAGCATGTACCTAGCATGATTTTAACATGAATTAGCATGTTACTAGCATGATTTTAGCATGAATTAGCACGATTCTAGCATGAATTAGCATGTTGTTAGCATGATTCTAGCATGAATTAGCATGTTACTAGCATGATTCTAGCATGAATTATCATGTTGTTAGCATGATTCTAGCATGAATTAGCATGTTACTAGCATGATTCTAGCATGATGTAGCATGTTGTTAGCACGATTCTAGCATGAATTAGCATTTGACTAGCATGATTCTAGCATGAATTAGCATGTGACTAGCATGATTCTAGAATGAATTAGCATGTTGTTAGCATGATTCTAGCATGAATTAGCATGTTACTAGCATGATTCTAGCATGAATTAGCATGTTGTTAGCATGATTCTAACATGAATTAGCATGCTACTAGCATGATTCTAGCACGAATTAGCATGTTGTTAGCATGATTCTAACATGAATTAGCATGTTACTAGCATGATTCTAGCATGAATTAGCATGTTGTTAGCATGATTCTAGCATGAATTAGCATGTGACTAGCATGATTCTAGCATGAATTAGCATGTTGTTAGCATGATTCTAGTATGAATTAGCATGTGACTGGCATGATTCTAGCATGAATTAGCATGTGACTAGCATGATTCTAGCATGAATTAGCATGTAACTAGCATGTTTCTAGCATGAATTATCATGTGACTAGCATGATTCTAGCATGAATTAGCATGTAACTAGCATGATTCTAGCATGAGTTAGCATGTTGTTAGCATGATGGATAGATAGATAGATAGATAGATAGATAGATAGATAGATAGATAGATAGATAGATAGATAGATAGATAGATAGATAGATAGATAGATAGCTAGATAGATAGATAGATAGATAGATAGAGAGAGATAGATTGATAGATAGATAGATAGATAGATAGATAGATAGATAGATAGATAGGTAGATAGTTAGAGATAGATAGATAGATAGATAGATAGATAGATAGATAGATAGAGATAGATAGATAGATAGATAGATAGATAGATAGATAGATAGATAGATAGATAGATAGATAGATAGATAGATAGATGGAGTGCGAGCATGAGTCAAACAAGCCAACCCCCGCCTCCCTACGATGTTCTGATGCTGAGATATAGCTGCTGTTATATCGTTGCTAGGTTAGTCTGTTTTGTTGCTATGGAGTTGATTGACAGCTTAGACTGATGATGTATCAAAGCTTCTTGCCAGTATGAACAGTTAAAAACAACCCCCATGTCTCTATCACACTGCAGCATGACAATATCAGTCTGAACCTCTTTAATGGCAGTCTATGGGACAGTTGCTAGGGTGCAGTATCTGGTTGTTAGGGTGTGGCTGGAAGGTTAAAAGGCCATCAGTGATTGGCTGCTGGCTAGACTGAGTTAAATGAGCTCAATCATTAGTCTGTAGGACAGTCCGATGCAGAGTTATGAGCTCACAAAGTTTGATCCCATGTAAAGTCAATGAGAGTCTTTTGCAATGGAAGTCTATGGGACGGTTTCTAGGGTCCAAAAGTGGTTGCTAGGGCGTGGCCAGAAAGTTTAAAGGTGATCAGTCATTGGCAGTTTGATAGTCTGAGTTAAATGAGCCAAGTTAGAAGTCTGTGTGACATTCTGATGCGGAGTTATGAGGTCACAAAGTTTGATCCAATGTTACGTCTATGGGATTTTTCCGACGGTCCCGGGACGTTTTTCGGGAAACCGAAAGTCGGATCAGTCGGAAAGGATATAGCAACTCGAGTCAGAATAGTTCGGAGGTCTGACCCAAGTTTGATGGTCATAGCTTGAATGGCCTAGGAGGAGATAGAGTTTAATTTTTAGTCTCAGAAGAAGAATAATATAGAAAAATAAAAATAACTAGATTCTTAAAGTTTGAGAACAAACTTTGAGGCTGGCTTGTGAAAGCCTGACGGTAATAGTTTATTTAGTTTAAACAGTTTTTAAAACTATGAAAAGATAGATAGATAGATAGATAGATAGATAGATAGATAGATAGATAGATAGATAGATAGATAAATAGATAGATTAGCATGTTATTAGCATGATTCTAGCATGAATTAGCATGTTTTTAACATGATTTTAGCATGAATTAGCATGTTACTAGCATGATTTTAGCGTAAATTAGCATGTTACTAGCATGATTTTAGCATGAATTAGCATGATTCTAGCATGAATTAGCATGTTGTTAGCATGATTCTAGCATGAATTAGCATGTTGTTAGCACGATTCTAGCATTAATTAGCATGTTACTAGCATGATTCTAGCATGAATTAGCATGTTGTTAGCATGATTCTAGCATGAATTAGCATGCTACTAGCATGATTCTAGCATGAATTAGCATCTTGTTAGCATGATTCTAGCATGAATTAGCAAGTTGTTAGAATGATTCTAGCATGAATTAGCATGTTACTAGCATGATTTTAGCATGAATTAGCATGTTACTAGCATGATTCTAGCATAAATTAGCATGTTACTAGCATTATTCTAGCATGAATTAGCATGTTACTAGCATGATTCTAGCATGAATTAGCATGTTGTTAGCATGATTCTAGCATGAATTAGCATGTTACTAGCATGATTCTAGCATGAATTAGCATGTTGTTAGCATGATTCTAGCATGAATTAGCATGTTACTAGCATGATTTTAGCATGAATTAGCATGTTACTAGCATGATTCTAGCATAAATTAGCATGTTGTTAGCATGATTCTAGCATGAATTAGCATGTTACTAGCATGATTCTAGCATGAATTAGCATGTTACTAGCATTATTCTAGCATGAATTAGCATGTTACTAGCATGATTTTAGCATGAATTAGCATGTTACTAGCATGATTCTAGCATAAATTAGCATGTTGTTAGCATGATTCTAGCATGAATTAGCATGCTACTAGCATGATTCTAGCATGAAATAGCATGTTGCTAGCATGATTCTAGCATGAATTAGCATGTTACTAGCATGATTTTAGCATGAATTAGCATGTTACTAGCATGATTCTAGCATAAATTAGCATGTTGTTAGCATGATTCTAGCATGAATTAGCATGCTACTAGCATGATTCTAGCATGAATTAGCATGTTGTTAGCATGATTCTAGCATGAATTAGCATGTTACTAGCATGATTTTAGCATGAATTAGCATGTTACTAGCATGATTCTAGCATAAATTAGCATGTTACTAGCATTATTCTAGCATGAATTAGCATGTTACTAGCATGATTCTAGCATGAATTAGCATGTTGTTAGCATGATTCTAGCATGAATTAGCATGTTACTAGCATGATTCTAGCATGAATTAGCATGTTGTTAGCATGATTCTAGCATGAATTAGCATGCTACTAGCATGATTCTAGCATGAATTAGCATGTTGCTAGCATGATTCTAGCATGAATTAGCATGTTACTAGCATGATTTTAGCATGAATTAGCATGTTACTAGCATGATTCTAGCATAAATTAGCATGTTGTTAGCATGATTCTAGCATGAATTAGCATGCTACTAGCATGATTCTAGCATGAATTAGCATGTTGTTAGCATGATTCTAGCATGAATTAGCATGTTACTAGCATGATTCTAGCATGAATTAGCATGTTGTTAGCATGATTCTAGCATGAATTAGCATGTTACTAGCATGATTCTAGTATAAATTAGCATGTAACTAGCATGTTTCTAGCATGAATTAGCATATTGTTAGCATGATAGATAGATAGATAGATAGATAGATAGATAGATAGATAGATAGATAGATAGATAGATAGATAGATAGATAGAAAGAGGTAGATAGATAGATAGATAGATAGATAGATAGATAGATAGATAGATAGATAGATAGATAGATAGATAGATAGATGGATACAGACAGACAGACAGACAGACAGACAGACAGACAGATAGATAGATAGATAGATAGATAGATGTAGATAGATAGATAGATAGATAGATAGATAGATAGTTGAAATCAAAGTAGTTACAGACTAATAACTTCTAAATTTACCTTTTATGACATTTTGTTTTATTTTACATAATATTATGTTTTATGTGTGTGTGTAGTATTATGTATTCAGTATTACATTTTGTAATGTTATGTTTTTTATGTCATATTTTATATATTTTTTACTATTGTGTTGTTTTTATATATATATATATATAATTGTATATGTTTTATTTACACATGAATATTGTTTTTATTAACTCTCTTTAGTGGGTTGTTGGAGAAAACGGCATCCTCAAACCAAAGCGAATTAACCCAAATATCTACCAGCCCCCATCATTAAAAGGTAAAAGCTTGTCGTTTTGCTTATAAAATTAAGCTATTTCTTATTGTGCATATTTATTTATATACATAGATATTGTATCTGAAGGCTTTCCTGCACTGTGCCAACCCAAGGTTTCAAAAATCACCACGACAAGTGTGTTTTCCCCATTTCTGTGTGTGTGTGTGTGTGAGATTAGAGATGGTGACAGCTGTGATGGGTGTGAGTCTGTGCCGCTCTGGATCATCCAGGATTACAGCAGATAGCATACAGCTGCAAACACACACACACACACACACATACAGTTTTAGAGGACAGGCGTCCATCAGACCAGAGCACTAAAAGATTGTGACCCACTGAGGACAATCTAGATTACTAGATTATGTCAACATAACGGAGCTGCTGTTTTCCTTTTTAGCTTGGCTTTAGAGGTACTTTCAATGACAACTAAATAACTGGCAAAATAATGTTTTCCTCAATTTAAAGTATGTGATTTGAACTATGAAAGAAGTGAAATCCTTTAACACTGAATTTTACAGCACTAGTCAATTTTTAGCACTAGCCATGAGAACACTACGAGTTAAATCTTGCACACTTGTGTTGTCTCTGGTGAGTAATGACATTGGAAACGAATGTGTAACTAATTTAATCTAGCTGAAATATTTGGCAACCACTGCATCCAGATGCATTTTTACAAAAAACGTAACTTTTTGGATGGTATTCTCAAATCTGACAAACAAAATGATTTCGATTTTATGGTTTAGCTTTTCAAGTATTTTCGAAAGATATGTATTTCATCTAAGAGTTGTAAATTACATTTTTTTGTGCTATTTACGATAATCACACGTATCAAATTTCACTTATTTAATCTGCCAAGTGTCTTACAAAAACAAAACAAACCAACACAGGCTCATTCTGAAAACGTAGCCCGTAATACATTTCTAGAGATCGCAAATTATGTAGCCAGAGGTACGTATGGCTGCATTTACTCTTTAAAACAAACAATACGAGGCGGAATTTTCGGGCTGGCCATCTGACCGCTTACCTCTATATAGACGGCTTTCCCGCTGATACCAGTTTGCTCAGTAGCTCGCCATGTATGTCGGCGGACTTGAGACACAGAGAGTAGTTGACGGGGTTCAAGTCTGGTGAAGAACTGTCCTAGAAAATAGTGTAAGGTAAGGTAAGGTAAGGTAAAACTTTATTGTCCCAGTTAGGGAAATTTGTCTTGGGCTCTTGCCCTCAGCTGCAGTCATCACAAACATGGACAAAACAATAAACATACAAAACACAAATAGGTAATTCAATAAAAGTTACAAGCCTCACTCCATGTACACATAAATAAGCAAACTGATACTCTCAATCTAAGCCACCACTATTATTTAATAGCTTAATGCTCGTAGGATAAAAAGAATTTTTATATCTGTTTAATCTACAGCAAGGTACTCTGAATCTTTTCCCCGAGGGTAACAACTCCTATTCCTTGTGCAGAACATGTAATACGTCACAAACAATTTGTTTAGCACACCTTAATGCCTCCTGTTCATACATATCCTGCAGTGACATCAGCTCTGATACACCTATAATTTTCCAGGAAATGTGAATTAAACAAACTATTTTAGATCTCAGCTGCACAGACAAGTTGCCGAACCAAGCTGTGATACCGTACCTTACCACACTCTCAAACAAAGCCTTATAGAACATGATCATACATTTCTGATCCACTCCATAAATTCTTAGACGTCGTAAAAAATACACAGTGAGGCAAAAACAGAAGCCAGAAAATAAAATAAACAAGTAAATAACAGGGTCAGAATGTCCGTCGACATTTTGGTGGATTTGCGAAAACAAAAACTGCAGTAAACATAGCTCCTGGGACGGATTTGGCGCTCTCCAGAAATGTATATAGGGGTACGTTTTTAGAATGAGCCTGGGTTTTAACAAACAGTACTTAAAAGGTAATAAATGCATCAAAACTACCGCACAAATCTAATGTAGTAGCATTAAATCCCCAAAATACAATACAAAATGATTACTGAACTAAAATATAGTGCATTCAAATCATTGAAATAATAACAAAACAACAACAGAAGCTCTAATTTAGACGATCACTCACGTAACACCAGAGATATTATAATAATAATAACATTGTATGTACATAAAGTAAAGGTAACCCTTTTATTGTAATATGATTAAGCCTGTCACAATAATCAATATATTATCTTATCGTACGACACGTGGACATGACCTCTATTATTTTTGGTGATTCAATATACATCGCCCACTCGTAAAAAACATCTCTACATGCAACATCTCTATCTCTATTGGAGGTGTCAGTATGTTTAAACAAACACTATAGTATTTACTATAAATGACTATAGTATATTTTCATGTGGGTGTCTGACAACTGAAAATAGATCTGGTAGCAGATATCACCGCCTCTGTTAGTTTTGACCTTGCACTTTTGGTTAACATTTATTATTATTTAATTAAGATATTCCTTTTCACATTCTGATTCCACGACCTCATCATTAAATAAATAAAATGACTATGATTAAATATTCTTAAGAATGAAATATTATTAAATTCACCTTTACTTGTATAGCGCTTTTACAGTGTACATTGTGTCAAAGCAGCTTCACATAGAAGATCATAGTTGACTGAAACAGTGTAGTTCAATTTTCAGTGTTTAAGTTCAGTTCAGTTTAGCTCAGTTCAGTGTGGTTTAATAATCACTACTGAGAGTCCAAACACTGAAGATCAATCCATCGATGCGCAGCTCTACAGATCCCGAATTATGCAAGCCAGTGGCGACAGCAGCGAGGAAAAATCTTCACCATTTGGCGAAAGTGAAGAATTAAAAAACCTCAAGAGAAACCAGGCTTAGATGGGCACGACCATTTCTCCTATGGCCAAACGTCTTGTGTAGAGCTGCAGTCTAGGCGCCAGCGAAGACTCATCTGTCCCTGGAGAGTCACAGGAATCAGTCACATGCTCTCCACTTCTCCATGACCACTACAGCAGCTGCTCAGGATACGGCCTGGTCCAGGATTATGGAACCATGGGATTATCTCATCGCTGGTCTTGGATTGAATAGGTGGCGCTGCATAGTCTGAGAGCCTCGGGATGAGTATCCCCAGGTGGAAATAGAGGCTAAAGAGAATAATTAGCGTAGCTGCTGTTCACAGTCTATATAAACGAGATGCAAAAACTTGTGTGGGGCACATTCATGCATCATACCACTATGTGATATGCAAGCTTCTGATATCTGATATCTGACTGTATGCTTTACTAAAAAGATAGGTCTTTAATATAGGATTGAATTGGGAGAGTGTGTCTGAGCCTCGGACATTATCAGGAAGGCTATTCCAAAGTTCAGGAGCCATAAATGAGAAGGCTCGACCTCCTTTAGTAGACTTTGCTATTCTAAGTACTACCAGAAGCCCTGAGTTTTGAGATCTTAAAGAGCGAGTTGGATTGTAGCAAGACAGAAGGTTGGTTAGTTAAACAGGAGCTAGATTATTTAAAGCTTTATAGGTAAGAAGCAATATTTTAAATTCAATATGAAACTTAACAAGCAGCCAGTGTAAGGAGGATAAAATAGGGGTGATATGATCTTATTTTCTAGACCTGGTAGGAGCTCTGGCAGCTGCATTTTGTACTAGCTGAAGTTTGTGTTGAATTACGAATGATGTGTTTTTTGGAAGAGTGTACTTGCATTATGATGCTATTATATTGTCATTCTGGCATAAAATTGTATTAAAATGACAATAATATCAATTAATTCAATATATTTTGGTGCAATATAGCATACAACAATATATATATATAAGGCATAAATATGATCTCTAAATGTGTGTTTTGTCCACAAAGACGTCCACACATCCTGTCACTCCAGCATAAATAAACCTATTGTGTTCGGCACGGTGCAGAAGTCTTGTTAAAAAAGCAAACAAGTCCATCCCTCTTTACCTGTGTGTGTGTGTGTATTTGCATGTGTTCCTGTGTTTATTTTTTCCTTGTGATTTGGTGATCCCTGATTTGTGTGTGTCCCGCTGTGTGTGTGTAGCCGTGCAGCAGATGGCTGAAGCTCAAATGCAGAAATTAGGTGTGTATCCTCATGTAGAGGAGGAGGGGGAGGAGCCTGTTCACAGAGGGGGGGCGGAGCTCTGCTCATCCTGCACAACTGGTAATATTAATATCGCCATATAATCCGCTGCATGCGCATGTGTTCGTTATTGTTGAAGATGAATCACTGGATTTAAGCATTTTTATTAAGGTAAGTGGTTGCAAACAATTTATGTGAGCTGAAATTAAACCAACAAATTAAATTAGCACTGTTGTCTCACAGCAAGAAGGTCGCTGGTTCGAGTCCCCGCTGGCTCAGTTGGCATTTCTCTGTGGAGTTTGCATGTTCTCCCCATGATGGTGTGTTTCCTCCGGGTGCTCCGGTTTCCTCCACAATCTAAAGACATGCACTATAGGTGAATTGGATGATCTAAATTGGTAGTAGTGTATGAGTGAAAGTGTAAAAACATTTGTCGGAATAGTTGGCGGTTCATTCCGTTGTGGCGACCTCTGAAATAGAGACTAAGCTGAAGGAAAATGAATGAACACTCTAAAAAATAACCCAAGAGGTCTGTTACCACTAGTTTAACACATTGTTGTAACTTAAAAGTTCTAAATTGCTGATCAGATTAAAACTTTTAAGTTGCCAGAATAATTGTATTGAGTTTTTTAAAACAGGAAAATATTGATAATTGCATACATTTTTAAAAATGTGGCCAATTTAAAGGTAAATTTATCTGTCAGTTATTTTAAAACAATATTTAACTTGTAGCAACCCAAAGAAATTGGGTTATTGTGACAATTTTCCACACTAGTGGAGTTGTTTTGTATATTTAAGTCCACATGATGTTAATATGGGACAGTACATGTTTTTGTTTTTTATAAAAATGAAAATCTATGGATTAATACAAATAAAAAATTTCCCGCTGGAAAAAAATGTTGTTAAATGTGTTTCTTACAAGCAACTAAATGAACAGTAAATTTAAAAACAAACAAAACATTAAACAATTTCGGCTAATTAACTTATTTGAGATTCTAAACCTGAAAACTTGCATGTAATTAAGTACATAACACTGGATTTGTCTTTGGTTTTAATGAAAAAACTAATTGAAACAGTAAGAACTTTAAAAAATTAAGTTTATGCTATGTAAAAATGCTTCTGATTGAAGAGGAAAAGGTCATTTGGCTAACATAATAACGTTTGTTGTCTGAACTTCATTTTGTTAGATGTTGTCATAACATGAATATATTGATGGAAACTGAGTAATTTTTGTTTGTTTGGTCTAAACAATATTTTTTTTGAGTGAATGAATGAATAATTTCAGCCCATATAAATAGTTTGCAACCACTTACCTTAAAAAAACTGTAAATTCAATAGTTATTATTTTCAGTGGACTTTCTCATGCAACCTTGACATTTGTAATTGATATTAAAATGCAATATATATATTTTTTCATTTTTAATGTTTTCATACTAATTAATAAAGTTGAATCAGCATTATGTTAACCTGTAAACTATAGTGATGGAATTTTTCCAAAAATGTTTACATAAATGTTGCCATTTAGAGTTATTTTTAAATCTAAAATAACTAAAAGGCATCATGTTTTAAATGTTTGTATTCATTTTCAGACTAAACATAAATATCCAATTTTGTAACTTCAGAAGTCCTGAGTTAAAGCAATATTTGTTTAAAACATTTGTTATTCTCAACAATTGTATACATTTAGAGATGAAAATAAATATTAACATTTTACTCAACCACAAAGCTGATACATTCAGAAAATGCAGTTTTCAAATGGTCTCTTTTTTTCCTCATGTACACCGAAAACAAAAATATTCATTGGATTTACTAAATTATTTGAAGGTAAGTGCTTGCAAACACTTTATTTGGCCTGAATATAAACAAATAAATTAAGTTGAACAGTGCTAAATTTAATTTGTTTGTTTAAATTCAGCCGATATAAAATGTTTGCCACCACTTACCTTGAAATAATTCAGTAAATCTAATGAATATTTTTGGGATATTGTTTTAGGCTATAGACATATACTTTGAATAAGCTTCTATTGCATTAATCGCTGTAATTTTTTATATTTTTTTATTTTTTGCTAAATTCATTGATCTTTTATATCTCAAAGTCAACATCATCAATCAAGCTGACTAAAATATTAATTTAAATTTATGAAGTTATTAAAATGTAAAACTGATGAAAATAAGTTGAGGTAGCACAAAAAAATTGTCATGATGACTTTTTGTCATATTTTGCTTGCAGTGTGCATAAAGCAAAGATTCATCCGCTAAATAATGTGAGCTATGGAAAATAATTTTAAGTTAGCAGCCATTTTCTTGGTCTGGCCCTTGTAGAAATATACTGAATTTATTGTAGACCCTATTTAACACAGTTTTAGGTGTATCTGTTCTGCAAATATCACTTCTATAAGGTGTTTAAACACAGTTGTGTGGCAACAGTCTGTGAATATAGCCAACTTCTAATAGTAAAAATCACACTTCATAAAAACAGTCTGCAGAAACACTGTGATTGACCCTCTCCCTTTGTAAATGTCATCAAAGGGGCAAAGCCCCGCCCATTAGTGAAGATCTCTCCCTCATTAGCATAGGCAGCCCTGAGTGTGAAGCTGCCATCTGTCATTAGAATTTCATTAGAGTTCATCACAAAATTAATGTTAGTCCTGTTTTGAATCTGCCACTATGCTGACACACAGGCATTTGTAGCTCCGCCCTTTTCTGAAAAGAGCACAATCTCATTTGAATTTAAAGCGACAGTCACCAAAACGACACAATTAAGATCAAAGCCTAAAAGGGTCAGTTTCAAAGAGTTATAAAACATTATTTGTGTGGTATTTTAAGCTTAAACTTCACATACACACACTAGGTACATCAGAGACTTATTTTACATCTTGTATAAAGCACCATGTTAGATTCCCCTTTAATGAAGGTGGACTTTAGTAAATTGTTTTTAAGACTTATTTTAGTCAGCTGCTTCAGAAACCTTGCATTTAGAGTAGTCTCTTTTTCCCTCAATAAACTTCAACGCAAAGTTCGGATTTTTCTTATATTTAAATATAACCCCTATCTCATGTCAGCGTTCAAAGGAAGTCTACATTGGAAAGTCAAAAAGATGACAGCAGTGATGTTTCTCCTCGTTCCTCCAGAGTTTTTCCCAATTAAAGATGAGAATATCTGAGAAAAAAAAAAACTGTGTTTTTTAATAAATCTTCTTTTTTTTTTTTAGAATCGCAGGAGCAAAGGAGCACACCAGAAAAGCAGTCTGGCATGAGGAAGACAGAAGCCACGGCACCGACCGATGAAGAAGAAGAAGAAGAAGAGGAGGAGGAGGAGGAAGATGAAGAAAAAGAAGAAGAAGAAGCAGATGATATGGCAAGAGAGGAGAGCAGAAATCTGGACTGATAGAAGTTTGAGAACTTTAGTGATTTCTTTTATTTGGTAATGCAAACTTTGTTTATTAATTATTGGTTTTCCGTGATTTCATCATTTCGCAAATAACAGCAAACTGTTTGAATCATTATAGACTCATTCTGAAAATGTAGCCCTATATACATTTCTGGAGATCGCGAATTATGTAGCCAGAGGTACATAATGCTGCATTTCTTCCTTGAAACAAACACTATGGAGTGCTACGATGCTGTTCCTTTTTGCGCTTACCAGCTGACCCACTTACCTTCGTATGGACGGCTTTCCCGCTGTTACCAGTTTGTCCAGTGGCTCGCCACTTACGTTGGCAGACTTGAGACACAGAGCAGAGTTGACCGTGATGACGGGGTTTGAGTCTGGTGAAGAATGCTTCCAGAAAGCAGCTAAGACAAAAACAAAAGCCAAAAGATAATATAAACAAGTAAATAACAGCGTGAGAATGTGTTCAAATCTGAAAACGCGGTAAAAATCTGGTGGCCGCGAGGGCTTATCTTTTTCTGGATTGCTTTTTGGGTTTAAGGAAGGGAGTGGGTGGGGGGGATCGGTCGGTTGGTCAGTCATTCAGTCAGACGACAGTGACCTCCGGTGCATTTACGTGAGAAGACCAAGCGCGAACGGCACTTGCGAAAGTAATTTGAGATCTTAAAAAGTCTACACAGCAGCCTGTAGTGGATTCGCGACAACAAAAAAAAAAAAAAACGTAGCTCCTGGGACGTATTCGGCTCTCTCCAGAAATGTATATAGGGATACGTATCCATAATGAGCGTGTTGGTTTGTATTCAGAGGGAAAACAAGAAACTCGGAAAGACTGGAACCCTGACATTGCCATCAAATAGAGACACACAACATAAAGTAAAATGTATAATGTAATATGCTTTCATACCGTCAAACAAACAAACAGGTAAAGTATGAATGATTATTTGTATGAGCTGCGTCGTGGTTGTTTGAATCATGTCATTTTTTTTTGCACCACACATTCATATTGTGTGTGTGTGTGTGTGTGTGTGTGTGTGTGTGTGTGTGTGTGGATTGTATTCACTGTGTGAGGATTAAAAAATGGCCCCACAAGTATAGCAATACTAGTCAATTTTGCCCTTGTTGGGACATGTTTTGAGTTTCCATGTTTCTTAAATCATATAGAATGAAGTATTTTGCAAATGTGAAACTGCAGGTTTACTGTGAGGGTTGGGTTTTTAAGGGTTATATAGATTTAGGGGTTATATATATTTAGGGATCGGGACAGAATATACAGTGTGTAGTATAAAAATCATGTCTATGGCAATCTCCATAAAGATACCTGTACGTGTGTGTGTGTGTGTGTGTGTGTGTGTTGTTGTGTGTTTGGATTTCATTGAGCCTACACTGCCATCTAGTGTACAGACAGTTGTTATACTGAATCCCATTAAATCATCTGCCATTAACGATAATCCTGGAGCACATGGACAAGCTCACGAAGTATTTAGCAGCAATATTTGTTAAACCACAAACATCCTGTTAGATTGCCCAATGGGTAATTTAGCAGCAAGTAAAAATATGCAGTTTAAGACAGAATTTTTAGCCCTGCAGAATTATTAGCCCCCTGCATGTTTTTCCCCAATTTCTGTTTTATTTTTTTGACACATTTTTAATCATAATAGTTTTAAAAACACATCTCTAATAACTGATTTCTTTTATCCTTGCCATGATGACAGTAAATAATATTTGACTAGATATTTTTCAAGATACTAGTATTCAGCTTAAAGTGATGTTTGAATGCTTAACTTGGTTAATTAGGCAGGTTAGGGTTATTAGGCAAGCCATTCTAAGATGATGGTTTGTTGTTAGACTATCAAATAAAATATTGCTTAATGGAGCTATTAATACTGACCTTATAGTTATTTTTTTTTTTTAATTAAGAGCTGCTTTTATTCTAGTCAAAATAAAACAAATAAGATTTTCTCCAGGAGAAAAAATATTATAGGAAATACTGTGAAAAAAAAATCCTTACTCTGTTAAACATCATTTGGGAAATATAAATAAAAATTGACAGGAGGATAATAATTCTGACTTCAACTGTATGTTTATAATTATTTATAAAAATATGTAATTAAAAATAATAATTCCAAAATA